TTTTATATATGTATATATATATATTTTATATATGTATATATATATATATATGTATAAAGGCTGAAAATGAACTTGTAGTAACTAGGAAGGTAGCCATTTGCTAGATGTTTAGATGCCTTAAAAATGAAATGATGTAAGGGAGAATTCAGGACAGGGATCTGTGCTATATTAAGGCAAATACAGTCACAATTTGTTAAATCCAAATAGAACTTTGGAACTTGGCATCTTGAAAAACTTTTTTGTTTTGTGAGAGTTGGCTCCTTGTATTCAAAACTTCCTAATCTGTCAGCTAGGTAAACATTTTTCTTAACACAGAGCTATACAGTGGGCTTGGCAAAATGGCTTTTCCCTTGACAGTGTTGTAAGTTTCGGTTTCCCTTTTTTCCTGTTCTTTTTTTCTTCATCTTCCTTTCATCAGACAGCATTTTGTTAGGAGTACTTGTTGGGGCTACCGTAGTACATTCTCTGTTGTATACTTAGCAAATGTTCCAACCTGCTGCCCTCTGTTGGTTGAAATTCTGGAATTTTTAGAAGCTCCAAGTTCTGATAAATGCCAGCCTCTTCCTTTCTGTTTAAGACTTGATCCTTGAAAAGACTCAAACCTGGTGCTTGATATTCTCAAGCACTTGTTGAGCTTTTGGCAGCAGTTTTGCTGTATTATTTTTCTCTCAGGTATCCTCCTGCTGTTGATGACATCTGTTATCAGAAGAGAGGGAGAGAGAGAAATGTGTTGTTTCTGGAATTAATTGTTTCAGAAAACTCAAGGTATTTCCAAGTCCTAATCTTTTTCATACAGAAACAGATACAGAAGTAAGATAATAAAAGAGAAAGCCAAGGCCTGCTACATGGCTGAAGAAACCCAAAGCTCTACAGGTAGCCACAGCACTGTGACGTTCAACTTCTATTGCAGTTTTTAAAGAAACAAATAGAAACAGTGCTAGAAGAGGAAACGGAGATCTTTCTTTAGTGTAGGTCTCCCAAATGCTTGTCATAAAGTACCCTTCTAAGATAGGACGAAGCTGAACTTTTTTCTACCCAGTAGAGAAGGGATTTATTTGCTTATAACCCAGGTGACTGTTGTGACGTATAGGATGTGTCTCATATTTTGAATGGATAGGTATGCTTTGATAACTTATCTGTAGTAGTGATTTTGTGTATCCTGACATGCCTTAAATGAGCAAGCTTATTTGTTCTGCCCTGTAAAGACCTAAAATGCTTCTGCACAAGCACAGCAGCAGATGCTTAAGTGGTAGGGAAACTTAGCTACTAAAACCATGCCCAAAGGCTTCAGGTCCCTGTCAGATTATGCAACAATTACATAATCCTGCAAGTACTTAAATTTGAAATGAAATATGGAGCTGGGACTGCAACTCAGTTCTAGGGGCACTTGAACTATGCAGGGGCTTTATATGTAGGGTTTGTTTTTGTAAATCAATCAGCTATGTGCTCTCCCTCTGTTGAGGGAACAGATGTAGTTTTTCTTTGGGAATGAATTGCCCAATTAGCTTTCAGGAGGGAAAAAAAGTATAAAAAAACAGCATGCCTTTATGCCATACTCATAAAAGCAAGGTCACTGCTCCAAGCACATCAACTTATTCCTTACAATTCTATCCATATTCAGATGCTACTTATCATTGCCTTTTTTTCCCTTTGAATGTTTTTACAGAGTGGGGCTTGGGGGTATTATTGGAAGTGAATTTGTTATTAAAGACTAAGGACCACTTACCTGTACCTGCAGCAGCTGAGGTTGTATTACAAGTCCTGCTGTCAGTATTTCCCTCTGCTTGCTGCTACCTTATAAAAATTACTCCAGGAGAACAGGTAACTCTGCTGAAGATGACATGATCTCATGGAGAGTCTGAAGTTTCACAGATTTTTACTGTGGGTATCCCAACTTGAAAAATGCAAATAAACTTGAGTAACCTCTCCATTATAGGGTTTTTATTTGTTTTACAATGATACAAGCACTTAAGGTGTTGGGTTTTTGTTTGTTTTTAACCAATGGGAAGTGCTTGCCTTTCATAGCAAGAACTTTAGGAAGAATTTTATATTAAACAGTTGATTTGCCCCATTCTAGGGCAATCTTAATATCAGCAACTGCCAGTGCAGGTTTTCTCTGCTGCTTTCAGCAATACATCATCAGTGCTAACTACAGTGAATACTTTTTGCAAGGCAACTTCACAAACGGGGCCTCACTTTTGAGGATTTAGTACAGACTGCAAGAAAGGAAAAACACTCAAAAACTGAAGAATGACCTTTTCCATGGCAACTGAAGCACTTAACATGCTCATGCCTAACACAGGTTGTCAGTGTTTACAAACGAAGTTAGTATAATCAGGGTGAAAGTGATTTGATATAAGAAATGAGACACTACACAGAGCATAGCCCCACTACTAGTTTTTATTGCAAAGATATTTTACCATGAAATTTCAACCTTTTTGTCACTAACTAGCTTCAAGTTGTTTAAAAAAAAAAAAAAAAAAACAAAACACATTCCCCTCAAAACTACACAAAGAGGTAGAGTTGTTTTGCTTCAGTGTAGGCTTTGATCAATTTAAGAAGGCTGCACTCAACTCTGAAAGACAGCACTATTTGGAGCTCTGCTATAGCTACACAGAAGATGTGGTCCTTCATGTGAAGGCCAAGAACAGCAGAAATCAATCCAGTTTACCCTCATTAAGTAAATATGAGCTACACACTAGTAAAACTTTATTTTATGAAAAAGCAACAGGGCTTCTTCTAACAGTAAGCAACATTATCTACTACTTTATGCTGGCTTAATACATAAGGTTATTTTACAAGTGTTTACTGTACCTTAAGAGCTGATGACTTATTGTGTATCTTATCAAGTCTCCACAAGGCAACTTTGAATTAAATAGTTTATTTAATTATAAAAGCATAAGTTGTACATACATTGAGTAATTGCATATTTCTTGGAATCAGTACCTATTTTGAAGAATATTATGTGCAAAGACAAGACAGTCATGCTTAGGCTTGCCCCTGGTATTCTGTTGCTTTACTATTTGTTCCCACCTTCAGTTCAGTATATCTCCCATGGAAACAGAATGAGGGAATATAGATACATTGATGTGTATGAGGATAATTTGACAGCATCACATACATCCACAGTAGATCTGCCTAGTATTTGAAGGGCAAAGACT